AAAAATAGATGTATCTATAATTGTTGTCTTTGTTCAACGCGGCCAAAAGAATTTTGTCGAGCTAAGGAATAGCTCACGTCTGAAGACCTCTCGTTTTCACTGATCTCGATTTTTGCTTTCGAACAGAGGAAAAGGAATGAAGAAGTGTATACAAATATGTGCCACAAACTGCAAATTGTTTCAACACGAGAGAAACAAAGCTCATTAGTTAAGTTTAGAGAGAGAGAGAGAGGTGTAAGTTAACAGGTAATATGAAGTCTACCCCTGAGATTCAGCCTAATTACAAAAAGACCCACTTTTCTCAAAGGTTACAAACGCTCCCCGTGGCATTTCTCTCTTTTTACAGTTTACACCCTCAAACAAGATAAATTTTGGAGGAAAAAAAAACTGGGGCATTTGGTAATTTGGGTAAACATCCGGGGTAGCTTCGTAATATAATCAAAGTTCATATAATACCTGTGCCAAATCCAGTAGCTTTCAGTGCTCTCCATTGTCCAGCTTACAGCAGCCATTGCTAATGCAGCAAAACCTGCTATAAGAAATCCCCATCTGAACCGTTTTACGATTGTCTTGATAATGTCGCTTACCCATCCTTTCGTAATTTCCCATCTGCAATAAACAGATTTTAAAAAACACATTACTGTCGAATATCAGAGAAAAAAAAAACATGAGTTAGATAGAGATTATATATATCAACAAGTCCAAATTTGCATCCAAGTAAACAAAATTACTTTAAAAAAATATATATACTACTAACTTAAATAACCTTTCTCTCCACAATTGTTTCAACCTAAAATTTAATATAAACCTCAGTCGATACTACGTTCACTTACATACTTCTAACTACCACTAATTATTTTATCCATCTTACATCAAATCAACTTTAATCATTAATATTTCCATCTCAAATTCAATCACACTTCCAAATTATTCTTTTTCTCCCCTTATCTCTAGCGAAAGAATAAATTTTCATCAGAACATATCCAATCGGTCATCTAGAAAGTCTACTAACCTGTGATGAATATTCAAATGAAACTCCCCTGAAATGGACAATGACCGATTTCGAGCACCGAACTCGATAAGCCAACCAACAAGAAGGCCCGCAGCTCCAAGTCCGAGCACATATCCAATGTTTTTGGACCTGCAAAAAGCCTATAAAGGTAAAATTCCCGCTACACCAAAAATATAAGCCCGAGCCCAATAGACTAGAGTACCTGGTGGGCCCAGTTTCTGCCAAAAGAGCCGTTACGATTGCAAGAATTGTATGAATTGTCCTCTTTGAGACTTCACTAATCGTGGACAAGTACACAAACGTACTCACAACGGCCATGAACGAAAGCCAAAAGTCCAAGAACTGATGAGAAAAATCATTGGTTAACCAAAAGAAATTCCACACGGGTTTAGCCTAATTACATAAACAAAATACCCGAAAAAGAAAAGAGGTGAAAATACAATTACACCCCACCAAGCTACATTTTCGACACGTTAAGGAGATTTTTCGTAATTTTAAATAATAACGGGTGGTGTTTTGTAAGAAAGACTTTTTGCGATCAACCAAAACTCCATACCTGCAAGACACGAAATGACAAAACACACCATGTGCCCACATCACACGCATGATAGAGTGCACTCGAGAGGCCACTCGATGTAAAGAGAACCCATTCCGCAAATGCCTAAAGCAGAACCAACTAAATTTAATGAATTATGGATGTGTTTGGTAAACCTAGCTGATAAGCTAGCTTATAGCTTTTAAGTGAATTTTGAGCTTATAGCTGATAGCTTATAACTTATGCCTGAAAAGCTAGCTTATATTATATGATAAAAGTGTTTGGTAAAATTAGCCTAAGAACTAGTTGAAATAAAAATTTCAATGGGCTTATTTGAAAAGCTAGCCAAGGAAACTTATGAAATAAATTCGAGCTTTTTAAAAAAGTTCGTCCTACCAAACCAAGTTTACTTGAATACTTGAATATTATAAGCCAATCAAATAAGCTGCTATCAGTTAGCTTCTATGTTTACCAAACATAGCCCAAGTACAAAGAATATATATGTATATATATAGATTAAGGGTCCATAATTTATCGTCACAATTTAAGCACACCTTATTCCGGAGAGCCCAATAGGCCGGGAGCACGGCTGCAGCATTGGATGCTATGAGGAAAATCGATTGACGAATGTGCCCTACACGAGTTTTCAGCATTTTTCCTTAAACAATTCATTATATGGCGAGATATTACCCGAAACTGCTTGTAAGAAAACTTAAAAAAAGACACTAAACCAAACCAAAACATAAAAGAGAGAGTTGTTTCACATACAAAAAATAAGATTTACCTCGATGGGACACGAGCTCAATACTACAGTCGAAACCTCCATGGTTCCTATCACAGGCACAGTAACTAATTGCAAAAAAAAAAAGAACAAACAAATATTAGATGTTGGTCGAGTCACTTTTATAACATATAACACATATAATTAAAATGGAGAACATATACAGACCTATATAATGTGAGTCCGCTAGCATCCATACCCATTTGACAAGTCCCATGTGAGGAACATTTGTTTGGACACCTCTCGAGAGACAACGAGATCATAGTTTGACCAGTCAAACCGGTAGAATTTAGTTTTCTTAACAACCCAATGCCCCATGTTCCTCCTCGTACGTACAAAATATAAAAACTAATTTTCTTCTCACTTGAGTCATATGTCCTGAAAAACATCGAGCCATTGCTGCTTCTTGTACTGTTCGCATAGAAATAATCGTAACTAGTAAGAGAAGGTAATCCTCCGTATCTTGCATAAAGTTCGTAGCTGATTTTTGACTCTGAGGTTAAGAGGATGTGAATATTTGCTCCTGTAGCACTATAAGGGATATCGAGCAGGAAAAAAGTCCAAGCATCACTATTATTATTATTTGCTCCAGCCGAAATATTACTCGTAAGGGGCTCCAGAGGAAAGATTGGTGAAGCTGAGGACAATTTTTCGGTTATTGGAATAAAGTTGGACTCGAAAGAGAGAGATGGGTTTTTCCTAAGAACTGCCTGTAAGAAAAATGAGAAAATAAAGAATATTATTAACTAAAGAAATTAAAAAAAGCAACTGATGCATGTATTCAGAGCAATGATAAGATTATAAGGGTGTGATTGGATATAAACTTAACAAAAAAAAAATAAAATCAAAACTCAAATTTAACTCAACATTAACCCAACCCCACTATCCTCAATATTATCAATATAATTAAATAATATCAACCATCATTCTTACACATCACATCAACTTTAATTCACTATTCATCTACTCACATAATTTTAACTACCAATCACTTCCAATCATTTTTCTCCTACTTTTTCATCAAATCAACTTTAATTATTTTATTTTAAATATTATTTCAACTTAAACTTAAATTCTCACTAACAACTAACCTTACCACCTTTTCGAAAATTAACTATGGTTAAAAAAAAAAAAAAAAAAAAATCAAAAACCAATCAAATCCATGTCCAATGACACCCTAAGTGACTAATTGACAGTAGAAAAAACTTATACCTAACCCAACAACAATTATGAATACACTAAAATTATACCTGAAGCATGTATCTCTCAAAACTGCAGTTTAATCCAGTTTTGCCCACAGGACAGTGAAGCATTTGCCACTCCAAAAGATAGCATGCTCTTGAGCTATTGCTTTGCACCAATTGGGTTCTATTAGAGATATCAACGGGCTGAACTGTAATATACCAACGGCCAGCTTTTGGAAAATCTACCATCAAAGGGGCTTTACTTAAGTCAGCAGAAAAATCGTAAACTGTATCAAACGGCATTGCACCGTATCTAACATAACACATTAAAGCTCGCGTCCCGTTAAAAAATGTCAAATTCGCTACAGAAAAAATTAGCCTTTCCGAAATTCCCATCACATCCAATGAATAGATTTTCATATCTTCATGGCAGCTAATTCCATTTGAATTTGTGCATGCAGTAGCATTTTTCTCCATGTTGTTATAGAATTCATTGTCATGGCATGAAAGAACATTAACTGTTTGGTTACAAAACTGGCCGAGCATCATTGAGGTTGCACATCCTTCCACACTAATGTTGCCACTAAAGGAGTATGAATTTCCTCGATTAATCTGCAGTTATAGAGCAAGAAATATAAGAAGTTCAGAAAGTAAATCACTATATACAACATCCTAAAAAGAACCATTAGAAATACTACCATTTATATCTAGCCTCATTACAAAGAGCAAAAATAATAGCAAAATATTTTATTTTTTTCCTGAAAAGTGTAATTCTTTAATTATAATTTCTTAGAATCCTCTACTAAAAGAAGAACATTTTGATGTTAGAGACTGTACCATTTTAGATTGTGTCCGAGCTGGCCCGATGCCATTGAATAGCCCAAAGTACCATGAACCTGGAGAAATCTGCACAGTAACTTAGTATTGCCTTTTAAACTTATTTCTTTGAGAGTCAAAGTCTTTCAAGAAAACAAACCTGCTCATTCGTCAATCTCAATGAAATATTCCTCTGCAATGGGTAGCACTTTTCAGAGTTTTGAAGACTTTGTGTCCCAACAAAAGAATCATTTGAAATGTGATCTATCACTGCAAAAGAGTCGATCTTTCCAGCATTAAAATTAATATTCATACTTGAAAAAGGTTAGTATTTCATGAGAAAATTAAGTTCAACCATCATACATACTTATATAGGATATATTGCAAAAATCCCCCTGAATTTAGCCTAACTACAAAAATAGTCCAGACTGACTGGTTCATATTAAACANAAAAAAAAAAAAAAAAAAAAAAGTGGATACCCCTTTTGCGATATTTGAAGAGTGATTTTCTCGGAGATGACTGGCTATTATGACTAAACTTCAGGGGTGATTTTAGTATTTGACAAAAGTTAATATTTTTCTTACCGAAACCCATCTGAGAAGTGTTATACACATCAGGTAGAGGAGGACTCCCTTCTCGGACGCATATAATTTGCGAAAACCTCGATGATGCATTATTTTTACCAACATCCTGTAACATTTTATTTTTAATCTAAGTGCTATCATCAACATCTGAAAAAAAACATAGTTTTAACAGATTTAGAGTAATAATATAACCAACAAGCTTCATCAGGACTTACAAGGTGCAAATCGGTTTCCAAAGAAAAGGACATTGAATAGAACCATTGTGGCAATTCAACTGTAGTAAGACACAAAAATGAAAAAGTTTAAGTATGAAAATCACAAACTGACTGTCTCAACATGGCCATTTTTGCATACACGAGTATAAGTTAAAAAAAAAAAAAAATTACATCTTGCTGCAAGTTTGACAAAAGACATGGAATAAAATCAAGATTAATGAAACGAATATATATACATTGATTGATAAGTTCATAACAGCTACAAATAGCTCAGAGAAAAAAGCATGTTAGACTAAATCTAGAAATCAGTGTACAAATTGACCTGATATGTTGTCATTCATTGAGGATGTTAAAGTAACTGATTATTTAGAATGCTGGCTATTCACACAAGCACACACAAAAACAATAGCAACACAGAACGAAAAAAAATTGAAATTTTTGAAAAGCAATATTTAATCTTTAAACATCATGAAAGCTGAAATGTAAGCAGCTTTTCCTAGCCAAATAAACTCATTGCTTCATAAGAATACAAATATAAGGGCTAAAAATGAATTGTGAAAGATTTATAATTTCGGAGTAGGACTTCCTTATTCTCAATCCTAAGCGAAGACAAAATATGAACACTAATGTATGAAGAATTATATACTCATCACTGGAAAGATCAAATCTTGGCCTTGACGAACACAGCCTATCAACTGCTTATGCTCAAAAACACGACGAATATACTCAATTTTTTTAATTAAGAAGAACTAAAATAAAACCCATGAAATCTATAATCACTGCAAGCTATCAATCTCAATAAAATGTATCCTCAAAATAACACGGTAACACGAAAACAACAATATCACACAATCTTCGAAGCCTTTTTTCACTCAGAAAGCTCATAAAACTAACTCGCACAAATGAATAGATATAAATAAGATTGTATTACAAAGAATTAGCCCTTGAACCTCTACAAATCAACACAATCGCAGAAAACAGAGCAAAAAATATTTCTCTACTTGTAATCATGCCCACAAATTAAAAAAAAAAAAATTACCCTGAAACCTCTAAAAATCAACAAAATCACAAAAACAGAGCAGCAAAGATTCTGCTTTTAACCATCCCAACAAATTAACTTTTATTTTTACAAGGAAAAAAAAACACCAAAAATGAATTTACCTCTGATATAACGCCATTCATATGGTCTGAGCGGTGTTTTAGCATATGAGAAGCTAGAAATAGTGTAGGTATTTAATGGCTGTTCTTGTGAATCACATACGGACAGAGCTAAAAATATGAGAAACAAACTCAGATAAAATCGATAAAGATGCCATCTTTTCCCCATCACCATCATCTACTTTATTTCTATTACAATACACGATCAAGATTCATCTGGGGTGGGATAGAAATTTATGGAGAAATAGAAAAAAAAAATTCTGGAGAAAAACTCGCAGACATATTATACTACGTTTGCGAGCAGGACTGTGTTCAGAGTCTCAGACAGCAGTGAATAAAATTCTAGTGCGCCTCTTTGAGTCTTTTTTTCTGTATTTTAATTAATATTCAACAACAAAAATATATATTTATTTGGGCCGGGGTTTGATTTATATATATCAATTATTTGAGGTTTAGGGTAGTGTCGTAATAAAATAATTAAATGAAGTATTGGGCGAGAACTGTGAATATTGAATATAATGTTATTTTTAGTTATATCTGATGTTATTTTTATATATCATATAAGTTGTTATATAGACAAATGTTATTATATGTCGTGGTTTTTTTATATTGTAATCAAAAATAGTAACAAAAAAAAAGCATTATATACCATTAAAAAAATTGTGTTGTTAAATTTCAGATGGTTTTTATTTAAATTACATCCTTCGAGTTTGTATAGTTAAATGAATTTTATGGTGACATTTTCAATAAAACCTTTTTCAGTAAGTTTGTTGTTAGGGATGTGTAATGATTAAGTAGTCATGTTTTTTTCAATAAAATTGTATACTTTTATGTAAAAAATTATACTATAAGAAAATAAAAATATAAATGTACGGATGTAATACTTTAAAATAAAATAAATAAAAGTGTGAAATGTTATAGTATGTAAATATGTATTTTTATAAAAAATAAAAAATAAAAAATGGTTATTTCGCTAGTGGTAGGCGTGTTTTAAGAGTTGGTGTTGAAACATCCACTTTAAATGCACAATTTTCCAAGATTAAAAAATAGTTTAGGGTGTCTGGTAATATAGGTAAATTAGGTTTGAATGATTTTAATTGGAATTTTCTGTGTGAATAATTCGTATTTTAAATCAATTTAAAATTATAAAACATTAAACAGTAGTTGGGGTTAGAAAATAAGTATTACCTAATAATAAAATACTAAGTGAACTTTCAATCTTGTACTGCTAATTATTCAACAAACTTGTTGAAATTGCATCCGAAGTCAAAAGTCCTCCTTCAGTTTGTATATTTTTTTTCCGATTTAAATTTTCTGGTACACTAGTCTCCAATTGAGTGTTCTAAATAAATAACACAAATCAACCAGTCAAAAGTCAAAACCAAAGTGTACAGCGAATATTTATTGGGCAAACGAAGATAAAATAAAAAAATTAAATACTTTCAGGTAATAAAAAAAATTTAATTTGTAAAGGCAAAACATTTTTTCATGATTAAGGGGAAAAAACATTTTCGACATTTTAATGTCTAAACAATCAATAAGATTAAGTTTAATAGTTAAACAATCATACATTTTGAACATAAATGATTTTAGAAAGCAGATTGGCAAGTCTCAATAGATTTTCAATCTAAAATGTCATTTTTAAAATAAACAAAGATATGATATTTTATCACATTAATATGTATTTTTAATGAAAAAAAGTGGGATATCTCCATCCGCCTAATGACTAGTAGAGATGTTAAACGGGCTAGCCCTAGCGGACTTCGGGCTAAACGTCCGGGTCTAAAAAGCCGGATTTAAACGGGTTACCAAAAAAGGGACCTAACCCTAATCCTAATGGGCTTCTGGCTAAGCGGGCTATAATAATAATAATAATAATAATAATAATAATAATAATAATAATAATAATAATAATAATAATAATATCTAAAAAATAAAAATTAAAAAGAGTAAAATATATAAAAAAATAATAATAACGGCTAGTTAACAATTATTTTCAACGGCTATTTATTATTTACCGTCGATCACTATGTTTCATGTGTTTCCTATTAGTCTTTCTGATTGGCTTAAATATTTTGACATGAAATACAATAACCAAATTGTTAATAATTATCTTTCAAAATCATAATAATCCATTACAACTCGTACTTACATGTGAAGTGGAATAGCAAAATTGTAATATACAAGAAATCTAAGAACATATTACTTACTTGATGCAAACATTTACAGCGCTCAACCCTAGTTAAACGGGCCAGCCCTAGCGGGCTTCGGGCTAAACGGTCCGGGCTTAAAAAGCCCTGATTTAAACGGGCTACTAATAAAATGACCTAACCCTGTTTTTTTCTGGGCTAAACGGGCAGGCCCGTCGGGCCAAGGACCATTTAACATCTCTAATGACTAGGTCCTTGCACACAAAATGTCTTGAAAGGACTATGTTTTTAGAGAATCCTATAATAAAACCAGTGTTCTAACATAGTGTTTGGTTGGAGGTATTTGAAGGGAAGGGGAGGGGATTTTTTATTTTTCCTTTGTTTGGTTTGTAAATTAGGAGGGGGAGGAGAGGGGAAATTTAAAGCCAAAATCCCTCTCCTCCCCCAATTTTGCTCCCCTCCAAAAGTGGGGGAATTTGGAGGGGAGGGAAAATTTTAAAGTGTGAAATTATTTTGTTGCCTTTCATATATGACTTATTTTAATTTTTTGTTTCTTACATCATTAAGGGCATAATTGTTATTTCTACAATATTTTCCTTCCCCTCCATTTTTTTAACTAAACAAGGTTTACCATTTTCCCTTCATTCTCCTCCTACAAAATCTCTTTAAACAAGGTAAAATTATTTTCCATCACCTCCCCTCTCCTCCCCTCAGTTGAACCAAACATAGCCTAAAAGTCGTTAGGCGCTCGGCCAGCGCCTAGCGCCTAGGCAGGGCCTAGGCGGCGCCTAATCGGGGCTCAGAAATAAATATTAAATACCTTATTTTCTATTTATTTTAACTGCCTACAAAATAAAATTATCTCAACTTATAATAAATCCACACAACAAAGTCCAAATAATAATATTAATATATATCAAAAAAACATAAGAACAAAATAATGTAATTAGTATTTAAAAAAAAAATTAAAAAATTGCCGCCGAGCCCGCCTAGGAGCGCCTAGGTCCGTCTAGACGTCGCCTAATCGCCTGGTTGCCGAGCCCGCCAAGCCCGCCTAGGCGCCGCCTAGCCGCCTGGTCGATTTTTTCTGCCGATTTATGCAAATCGGAGGCGCCCGGGCACTGTCTAATGCCTAGGTGCTGCCTAGGCGGCCGCTTAGGCCGATTTTTAGAATAGTGAATAAAACTCATTGACTTGTGGTTGCAATAAAATGAGAATTGAGTTAATGAGTAGTGGTCAATTGATTATTTTTAGGAAATTGCAATAATAATTCATTGACAACTAACTTACAAACAAATAGAAGGGTGAAATGGATGTTTTAGCTTCTACAGGCTAGGATCCTACTAGATTGTTTCCAAAATTAGGCAGACCAATATCCAATAGTAAGGATATTCTAGCTCAATAGTCAATCAATATCTATGTATTGCAATTTTCTATAAGTAAAATTTTATTATGTTCATTCTAACTTAGAATTGAAGATAGCAAATGGACAATTACATTTTTTCTTTATATTTTTTGTTATTAATTACTAATATCAATATGCAACACTTCAATTGTAATTGAGTTGTAACTTTATTCATAAACTGCGATAGTATAAACGTCATAAACTGCGATAGTAACATAAACACTAGTGTATTGTTCTTAAATCAATTCAAACTTATAGTTAAATCAATTCAAATTTATAGCTGACAGTTTATGATTAATGACTGAAAAACTAGTATACTCATTAAATCAATTCAAACCGCGCGGGTTTCCTCTAATGCCTAGAGGCCATGGCGGGTTGGTGGAGGGAGCTTCCGGCGGAGGGTTGGCAGTGTTGACGGCTCCGATAGCCTCTTGGTGTTGGCCGAAGTTTAGATCAGTGTTCTCTACTCCCTCGAGTCTTGTCCATTTTTCTAGTGTTGGGGGGATAGGAAGCTCCGGCGGCGTGCTGCGACTATGGTCTGGCCTAGCCGATGCCGCCGGTTTGGTGTGGAGGTGGACGTGGGTCTTCGATTGCTGCAGCATTGGTGTTCTTTCGGTGTCCACTTTCGGTTCAGTCTAGTTAGCCGTCGTGGGAGTTTCTAGATCTGGCCTGAGCGCTGGGTCACCTTGTTTGTGTGCCTTCGGGTGTCGGGTCACTGATTGGGGTTTCAGTGTTCTGTTTCGGCTAGTGCGGAGGGCTTTCTCTTCTGTTTTATTTGTAGTGTTGTTTTGTGGGTTGTGGTGTTTGTACAGGGGCGAATTACCTAGTGTGATAGGGGGCAATTGCCCCCCCTGAAATTTTATTTTATTTTTTACTATTAATATTAAAAATTTTAATTTGCCCCCCCTTTAAATTTATTTTTGCATCCCCAAAATTTTTGTTTTTAAACGTCACTCACCAGCCACTTGTCCACTATTGTCAATTAATAATTTAACACTTCTTTTATTTTACTATTAATTTTGTATATTAATTATTATCATTCTACAATTTTAATTGGCCCATATAAAAGACTTCAACTCTCTTTTATTGCCCAGGCTAGGTCTGGTATTTTTTTACTGAAAAACTGAAAATCGAATCGAACCGAACCGATGAGAAAATAAACCGAATTGAACCGACTTATGTGTGCGGTAATCAAAAATCAGTTACCGAAATGTTATTGGTTCGGTATCGGTTCTGAACCCATTATGTCATGTCTTTTGACCTATCTCAATTAATTTTCTGGTTTTGCCCCTGTTTTTGTAGGTCTTATTGTTTGGTTTGGTTTTCATTCCTCTAGTTGGAAGTAGGTTTTTTTCACTCGGGAGTTAGGTTTTCCTCATATAGGAGTTATTTTTTTAGTTTTGTCGTGTTTTTTGGTGGGTGAGTCTACTGTAGTGGATTTTATGTTACATTCATCTTCTGTTTGTATGCCTCTCCCCGATTTCGGCTGTATACCAATCGAAGATTATAATTATTTGTATGTTTATAAAATTCTCTATCGTTAAAAAGAAAAAAAAAAAACCTTGATGTGAGTGTTGTTTTGTAGTTGTTTGTCTCCTTGATGGAGTTTGTACCCCTTGCGTGTGATGACAAGGGGGTTGATTCAGTCTTCTGATTCCAGTGTGTCATTTGGCACTTCGGTTGTACTATGTTGAGTTTTTAAGTTATTAATATAATTGCAAAAAAAAAATGCAAACAAGTCCATTATCATCCCCAAATCACATGCCACTACGTGTCCCTGTTATAGAATTTTCAACAGCCTCCTTTTCCACATGATATTTATCTCTGCAAATCCCTACAATTTTTGCTAATTAGACTTTCTGCGCAGCTTTACCTCTCTCGTACGCGTCTTCTGGTACTGTTACAGGTACAGACCTTTCCTCCTTCTCTCTCTAAATATATACGTATGTATTTGTGTATGTAGATGCCTGATCGCCGTTTTGTGCTTCCATTGCTACATCTGAATAGTAAATCGATTTTTGCGTATTCAAATTGCACGATCGCTTCAAATTGAGCCGTTGACCAGTTCCCTAGGTACGGACAATGGATCTCTGGCCCTGGTTTGGTATTTTCAAGATTTTGTTTGTTATTTGTTTCTTGTAAATTGTTTCCGTTGTTCATTTTACATGATTAACGTGTGTTGGTTCTTGCCTTTTGTTCTCTTATTGTAAGAGTGGAAAAGAAATTTAGGGTCTGGGTTTATTTGTTTCTGAGTTTGATTTTGACGATTGAGAGAAATTGGTGCGTTGACTGATGGATCGATGGAGATCTGGGTTTGATTTAGCTGTTTGCTTTGATTTGGTTTTGTTTATTGAATTCTATTGAATATTTGGCATGTTGAGGTTTGTGAAAGTTTAGATCTGTTGTCTGTTGTGTTAATAATGATGCTATGAACACTGAAACATAAATATACTGGTGTTTATGAGTCTCTTGATTGTGGGTTTTGCTGTTGATTGTTTCTGCGTCTGTTATTGCTATGCTAGAAATGATGGTTTGGAGATCTGAAATTTATTGATCACTTGCGGTGGTACTCTTGAAGTTTACTTTAATTTAGCTCTGATTTGACAGCTACATGTATAATATTTCAGCTATTGCAACAGAGGAACATGTGATTTGTCATATTTAAACTAATTTTGGGGATTATTTTCTTTATAAGTGGTTTGTATGCTCATGGAAATGGCTAATGAAATGAGAATCTGTGGCCCCCAGGCCACAGATCTCCACTGTCCTTCAAACAAGTTAGGAGATACGAACTCTTGGAGTATCAAATGAAGTTTTCGATTAAGAATTGATCCGATGTTTCTGTACTGTTGTTAATGTATGTAGGACAAGCATTTTTTTTTTCTTTGAACTTGGTGAGACCTTTCTACTAGTTTTTCTTTTCGGCCTCCTTGGAGACATCAAAACCTCTTATATTCACTGCAATAGTCCTTTAGATCATGTTTGAAGCCCTTTTTTCGCAAGAATATTAAGTTTCAATTGCAGCATCACCCTAGCTAGTGATTTATTAATTAACTCTTGGGGGTTGAGAAGTGTATCATTACCTGCATACCGTATAATGTTATATTAATGATATATTAAATGTTCATTAACATACTTCTTTTTTCTTTGCTTTTTCCCCCTTTTAAGCATTTACCTTTCGTGTTCTAAAGCCGCTGGAGCCATGAATTCATTTCCTTGCAGGTAGTGCATTATATAACAATGAGTCGTGCTCAAGAACAACACAGGCCTTTTCTCCCATTCGGAAACCCTTTCCGCATGATATCGCCAAAGGAGGCCCGCCTCTCTCCCCAACTCCTCTCTTTACTCAACACTTTCGAAGAGACTCTATCCAGTCGAATCAAGAAACTCAAGCCCACGAGCAAAGAAGATGTTCTCCGCCTATCCTGGATGAGTTTTGCTGTCGAGTCCCTTTGCGAAATTCACACAGACGTGAAAACCCTAATCACCGCCCTCGAACTCCCCATTTGCGACTGGGAGGACAAATGGGTCGATGTCTACTTGGACAACAGCGTGAAATTGCTCGACATTTGCATTGCTTTCACCTCCGAGATCTCTCGATTCAAGCAGGGCCATCTCTATCTCCAACTCGCGCTCCGTAACCTCAGTGACGATGCCTGCTCAAAGCAGTTCCCTCGAGCCCTCTCGTCACTTGACGGGTGGAAAAAGCACGTCGGCTCGAAAAACCCGAGGCTCGACAAATGCTTTGCCATGATGGATGGACTCGCCCAGAAGCTGGACCTGCCGAAAATAAAAAACTCGGCCAAGGGTAAAATCTTGATGCGGGCCATGTATGGGGTTAAGGCAGTCACACTTCTGATTTGCAGCATATTCGCTGCAGCCTTCTCGTGTTCGGCAGAGAAGCTGATGGACTTAAAGATCAACGAGTCGTTTTTGTGGGCTGAGGCTTTTGCTGATTTTCAGGTCTTTGTGAATACCGAAATTAGGAGCTTGTATTCGAGCGGGAGAGTCACGGTGCTAAAAGAGCTTGAAGAAATCGATAATGGTGTGAAAAAACTGTATCCTGTTTTGGGGGAAGATGTGGGGGCCGTCCAGAATGAGAAATTGCATGAGTTGAGGCCCCATTTTGGGAAATCGGTTGAGAATCTTTCAGTAGGACTTGATTTACTCGGTAAGGAAGTGGACAGGTTTTTTCAGATTGTTCTTACGGGTCGTGATGCTCTGCTTTCTAACCTTAGGGAGGGGTCCGATGTTTTTGATGCCGGACGAACTAACGGTAACAAAGTTGAGGTATAATGATCAGGTAAAAAAAATTGCTCCTTTGTACACAAAGTGTGTGTTTTAGGAGGAGTGTTGTGTTGTGTTGTGTTTTCGGTTTGGATATATGAAGGTGTGTGTTTGTGTGTGCTTGTGTGTGTATGTGTTAGTTGAGATAGATTTTGAGAGTTGTTTGACGTCAGTGTTGTTGTAATTAATAAGTGATTGAACTCTTATTGTATGTGTATTTGATGATATTAATATAAAGCTTATAAAATTGCCTACATTGGATGTGTCAAGTGTCTTTTCTTTCAAAAATGCTACTAGGTTGTGGGAAGGGTTCTTTACATGTAAATTATGTTAAATTAATGACTGGTCTAAGCCATTTGTGGTTGATAATAGAAAATGGGCACATATGGGATTTCTTTTTTTTTTTTTTTTTAAAAC